AAGGAGAAGGTTTTAATCGGCTCACGATGTGATCCTGCCCGGCTCCATTGTTCGGCGCTAACGAGGAAATTAATCCTGGCCGCTAATTAGTGACGAAGATCGCGGTGATTACAAAATAAAAGCTGATTAAAACTCGATTTTCTGTCAGTTTTTGGAATTTGGGAGGTTGAAGGGAGGAATGGGAAAAGTCGAGGAATTGGGGGAGGTTTAGGAGGGGGTGAAAAGGAATAAAATTGGTACTAAAGGAGTGAGAAATTCAGGATTTTCTGCTCAATATTTTTCATGGAAAAAAGAAGGAAAATGACGTATTGGTGAACTAAAGAGCAGAATTATATATATTTTTTTAATGGAAAAAAAGAAAATAAATGAGTTTACCTCCATGGCCAGAGCTGCAGTTTGAGCAGGTTGCCATTTACCAGACTCAAAAAAATATATATATTTATTTACGGAAAAAAAGAAGAAAAATGAAGTATTGGTGAACTAAACAGTAGAGTTTTGGGGTTTTCTTTTGTTTTTTTTTAATGGAAAAAAAGGAAATAAATGAGTTTACCTCCATGGCCAGAGCGGCAGTTTGCTGGTCGTAGTGGTTGAGCAGGTTACCACTTACCAGACTCAAAAAAATATATATATTTATTTTTGGAAAAAAGAAGAAAAATGAAGTATTGGTGAACTAAAAGAGTAGAATTATTATTTTTTTTTAATGGAAAAAAAAAGAAAATAAATGAGTTTACCTCCATGGCCAGAGCGGCGGTTTGCTGGTCGTAGTGGTTGAGCAGGTTACCATTTACCAGACTCAAAAAATATATATATATTTATTTTTGGAAAAAAGAAGAAAAATGAAATATTGATGAACTAAAGAGTAGAATTTTTTTTTTTTTTAAATGGAATAAAAGAAAATAAATGAGTTTACCTCCATGGCCAGAGCAGCGGTTTGCTGGTCGTAGTGGTTGAGCAGACCAGACTTAAAAAAATATATATATTTATTTATGGAATAAAAGAAGAAAAATGAAGTATTGGTGAACTAAAGAGTAGAATTATTTTTTTTTTAATGGGAAAAAAAGAAAATAAATGATTTTACCTCCATGGCCAGAGCGGCGGTTTGCTGGTTATAGTGGTTGAGCAGGTTACCATTTACCAGACTCAAAAATAGATACATATATTTAAGAAAAATGAAGTATTGGTGAACTAAAGAGTGGAGTTTTGGGGTTTTTTTTTTTTTTTTTAATGGAAAAAAAGAAAAAAACTGAATTTACCTCCATGGCCAGAGCGGCAGTTTGCTGGTCGTAGTGGTTGAGCAGGTTACCATTTACCAGACTCAAAAAAATATATATATTTATTTATGGAAAAATAAGAGTATTGGTGAACTAAAAGAGTAGAATTATTATTTTTTTTATGGAAAAAAAAGAAAATATCTGAGTTTACCTCCATGGCCAGAGCAGCGGTTTGCTGGTCGTAGTGGTTGAGCAGGTTACCATTTACCAGAATCAAAAAAATATATATATTCATTTACGGAAAAAAAGGAGAAAAATGAAGCATTGGTGAACTAAAGAGTGGAATTTTTTTTTTTTTTTTAAATGGGAAAAAAAAGAAAAAAACGGAATTTACCTACATGGCCAGAGCCGCGGTTTGCTGGTCGTAGTGGTTGAGCAGGTTACCATTTACCAGACTCAAAAAAATATATATATTTATTTATGGAAAAAAGGAGAAAAATGAAGTATTGGTGAACTAAAGAGCAGAATTATATATATATTTTTTTTTATGGAAAAAAAAGAAAAAAACTGAGTTTACCTCCATGGCCAGAGCGGCGGTTTGTTGGTCGTAGTGGTTGAACAGGTTACCATTTACCAGAATCAAAAAAATACATATATTTATTTACGGAAAAAAGATAGAAAAATGAAGTA